GACAATTCTATCGCCACTGTGTATAATATTATAGAGTTAAATCAATTATTAGCGTTTTCTGTCGGTGTCAACCCAACCTACCTCTATTCCAGCAGCTGCACACGTCAAACGACTTAACTCCGCCGCGCCACGATGGTAGAAGTAATACAGCTTGGCTGACATCTTAACCGTCTGCTAGATCTAGATCTAGATTTTACCGGGAAAAATGCAATTTGTTGTCGAATTTGAAAGTTTCCCGGAAGAGGTCTGTTTAACGTCTGAAATGAAAACTTGGTACCTTCAGTGCTGCGTGAGCACTCCTACTTTCGCTCTGAGCAGAAGACCCGCTCTTAAAACAAGCGAAAGAGGTATTAACTCCTAAGGTTTTAGCCTAACTGAGCACGAGTATTTCGCAGCTTGAAGGCGGCTGTTGTATTTGTATCCACTGCAGGCCGGCGCGATAACTTAAGACTGCAGTGGCTGTATTCTACGCATGTAATTATAATAAAATGTATCACGAACGCAAGGCGCGTTATACAGAACCAAACACTACACAGCAAACACTCGATTGACTGCTTGTCCCACACTGCTCGACGCACAAGTGTGACTGTGTGACAGTCTCTGAACTGAACACCAGTTTGCGGCCATAGACTTGTAGTGTAATCCAAGACTGCATACTCTGACGTACGTCCGGTATACCATAGAGTGCAACAATTGACTCTAATTTAGACCCAAACGAAAGGCGAAGAGAGGAGGATTATGTTCACACACCACTTTAGTGGGTGCTTGGCGGGTGCTCTTGTGTGGTTTGCTCCTTCTTTCCTATCGAACATATATCATCTTTATCTCCCCTTCTTCTTTTTTATGTTTGTTACTCTCTTGCAACACCTCTAATCTTCTCGCGCTCATATGACCTTATGCAGTTGCGAGCGCCGTAAAAACCTCTACTAAAAGTAAACTAAACACTCCACTTTATTGAAATTGGTGGTTTGCCCTTTATTTGGATCAATGATGATTTGGGTGTCTATGGTGCACATTAGAGCAGTAAAAGTTTTATAGAGAGAAATAAGACTGGCGCCATGACAGCGCGAGATCTAGGGTATTATACATGTATTTCAAGCTTGGCTAAAAGTTACTCCAAGATTTCTAGTCCAAGTTTGCGGCTTAAGCAGTTTCTTTCTGAAGGCCGCAGCACTTTAAGCTTACAGTGCTTTTGAGAGCTTGGGGGTTAACTTGACATATGTTGTTTTTTTTTTTTCTTTCTTTCAAAATTGATGTTGTTTTTGTTGTTGTTTCTGTAGCCCCTGCGTGAATGAGAGTGTGTGTATTGTGTACGGTACTGAACTGAACATGTCGAGATGTCCGTGCCTTTAGTGCGCTACTTATGGATTTTTAATTGTCATTGAAAAAACAATTTTTATTCACATCGGTGTTTTTTTTCACACTTGAAATTTTTTCACATTTGATGTGTTGTTGGTGTTGTGGTTGTTGTTCTTGTTGTTGTCGTTGTCGTTGTTGTGCCGGACTGTGTGTGTGCAA